CAAAAGCACCCGCCTCATCTCGCCCTCGTCGAATTGTCCCTCCAGCCTTGCATCGGCTGCTGTCAACAATCTCCCTTCTCTGTGTAAACTCCAGACCCATTCAACCAAATTGCTGCAAACTCCTCCGCCTTTGGCGCCAACCCCTGAATTTACATCTTTCTCAATTGGTCTTCTCCCGCTCGCTACCTCGAGAACAACTGCGCCATAGCTAAAGACATCGGTTTTCTCGGTTGCCCGTCCGGTTAAAAGATATTCAGGGGCCAAGTACCCCATTGTTCCAGCTGCAACTGTTGCATCAGGGGACTTATCATGCTCAACTTGCCTTGCCAAACCGAAATCGCCTAATCTTGCATTGAACCCTTTGTCTAACATTATATTGCTGGTCTTAATATCTCTATGAATCACCTGGTTTTCACATTCTTGATGTAAATAAGCCAGAGCAGAGGCCACGCCAAGCAGAATTTTTCGTCTATATGGCCATGGCAAAGGTATTCTTGCTTCAAATAAAGCTTTATCAAGACTTCCATTAGGCATTAAATCGTAAACTAATAGAATTTCACCTTTCTCATGGCACCACCCTTGAAGCCGAACAAGATTTCGATGCCTAAGAGTCCCAATTATAGACAATTCAGATAAGAATTCATTCTTCCCTTGACTATTATGACTACATCTTTTCACCGCAACAATGTCACCATTCTCCGGCAAAATGCCTTTATAGACAGTCCCAAATGCGCCATGGCCGATGATTCTATTAGCATTGAAGCATTTTGTGGCCGATTTGAGCTCTCTATAACTAAATTCTTTAGGCATTCTGATAACTTCCGAAGCAAAAGACTCTGATTTCTTCACATTTTTATATTTCTTAGAGAAAAACCATATGAGCACACCGGCAAAAATGGCCAGAAAGAAAGCACTAGCCGTTACAACCCCTGCCACCGCCCCTGGACCTTGCTTACAGAGCTGGTTATGACAAGATGAAGACTTACTACTCTTCTGTGTGGTACTTGCAATCGAATCAGAACCTGAAGGAGCCAATGACGGCGGTGGCGACTTCACCGAATTAGCCGTTGGATTCATCAAATTAGTCGTTGGAGGCGGCGGCGAAGAAGTTGGCACAGAACCAGAGTTTGACTCAAACGAAGAGCTAAAACTCCACCAATCAATATTGTGAATCTCTGTACTTCCTTGAGTAGACCCAGAAAACCCAACGTACATAAAATCATTAACGTACTGATCCAGATCAAGACTGAACGACAAAATCGGGTATTTGGGCTTCAAATTCGAATAAGAAACCGAAATATTAAAAAACCGAGTCAACCCGTCATATTCAATCCAGCAATTCACAAGATCACCGCTTTTAAGATCGATATTTACAGCACTTAAATCACCAACCTGAGTCGAAACCATACTGTTCAGATCCAAACCCACATGGTTTCCGTTAATGTCTTTAAATTCAACATCCATCAACGTGTCAAACTCCACTGCCACGAACCCCATGGCGAGTCCTCTGTCATCGAGAAGCCCAAGTGAGCCGCCAGCCGACCCCAGCGTGTCATCATCCGGCGATATCACAAATGCAAGCCCGGCGCCTATCGAAGACGGGTTAAGGTTCGAAATCGAGAATGAAAAGAAGGTAGAAAAACTCGTCGGAGAGTGGGTCCCCGGTTCCCGGAATCTGACGGGTTGTGAATAAAAGACTTTCCCGGAGCCGGAGTAGGGGACGGTGAGGTCTCGAGTGAGCCTGACGCTGCCATTATTCATGTGGGCATCGCCAATAAGCTTTAAGCTACTTAAAGTTAAAGTACCGAAGTCGAATTCTGTTGTGGAGAATGTTATTACCACGTTGTTGAAGAGACAAAAGATGAAACAAGGATAAAGTAGTGTAATAATGCGTGAACGATCGCGGGAAAGTAGCAACATTGTTTACTGTCGGTTGAGGTTCATTTGCAAGAAGAAGAAGACGAAGATTGAGTTCACGAGTTAACTGAGAGAGAGAAAGAGAGAGAGACTGATTGTATTCTTTGCCTTGAAAACAGAACAACCAACTGGAGAAACAAGGAATAGAGAATCCAAAGGATAGATGACGAAGACAGGTGGATGGATGTTGCGACACGTGGCCCTTCGTAACGGTTATTTTTTGGGTGATAAAGAGAACCTTTTTTTATTTTCTTTTTTTCTTCTATCCCTACTTCAGTTCATACACACTTTATCAAACCCTGCTGGGATGCACGTGGCTGCACAATGCGTGAACTTCACGCTCCATTCCAGTGTTTCCTAAATAATCCCAAAGACATGTAAAAGGAATCTGTTTCAAAGTGTTTTTTTATTTCATTTCTGGTATTGGTTAAAATTCTAGGACTCCTTTGGTTTGAGGCCTAAGAATGTTTGTTCTTTCATTAAATTTTTAGGTTCTAAATCACTTATTACATTCGTAGGTTACTTTAGAATATTAAATTTATAAAAAATTTAACGAGTCTTAAGGATTAATCAAGATACATTTTTAGGTTCTAAATCACTTATTACATTCGTAGGTTACTTTAGAATATTAAATTTATAAAAAATTTAACGAGTCTTAAGGATTAATCAAGATACGTTTTTAGGTTCTAAATCACTTATTACATTCGTAGGTTACTTTAGAATATTAAATTTATAAAAAATTTAACGAGTCTTAAGGATTAATCAAGATACATTTTTAGGTTCTAAATCACTTATTACATTCGTAGGTTACTTTAGAATATTAAATTTATAAAAAATTTAACGAGTCTTAAGGATTAATCAAGATACATTTTTAGGTTCTAAATCACTTATTACATTCGTAGGTTACTTTAGAATATTAAATTTATAAAAAATTTAACGAGTCTTAAGGATTAATCAAGATACGTATAAGCAATTTAAACACTTTGATCATTAAAAAAAAAAAATTCAATCCGTTATAGTACTTTTAATCCTTCTATATTAATTTGACAACTTACCAATTTTATTCCTTGTTAATTTACTTTCATATTAAATTTAGACCATAATACAATTAAGTAGAATTATATAAGAGTAGACTACTTTTTTTCACCCAAATAATGACTTAATGACACTTACCCACCCACAGACTTTTAAAATACCATTTTAGTACCCAAATTTATATTTTGTTTCCTATTTCAGCATTGTTGTGACCTCACACTACCACTATTATCTTTTCCGATCATCACTCACTAAAACCCCTCAAACTATACTTATGTCGACCCCACCAATCGTTGAAAATCAGGCGACTAGGGTTTGCACAATCGCCCCTCCTAAGTCAAATTTTGATCAATCTTAACCATCAAAATCTAACCATCAACCACCAAAAGACTCGTCGATATTTTCTCTTCAAAAGCCTCAATAGTCTGGATTGAGTTTACTCTTTGTTTGTCGTCGAAATATAAATTTTGATAATAAAATGTATTTTAAAAATTTGTAAGTGAAAAAATGTTATTAAACCATTATTTGAGTGTATAAAAGTCATTGATTCAATTATAAAAATCCAATTAATGCACGTATGGTTAATATTTCTTAAGACAGTTTAATATATAACATTTTAACAGGGTTTCATGTAATTTAAGTTTCCTAAAGATTTTTATGAAAATTATAAAATATATAAATTTTTATCAATTTTAAAATCATTTAAATTCATGTTTATATCGTCTATGTCACAATCACATGATGGAAAATAACTTCAAATAAAACTAGAAGGTATATCATATCATCTTAATGTTTGTATAGTTACTATTTGTTAATAATTTTTTAAAATTTTCCAATTTTTCTAGACGATTCTAAAGAAATCATTCACGTGAATTTTGTTTTTTGTTTAGAAAAAGAAAAATATTGTGCACATTGTACTTTATGCTTCCATAGAGCTTATGGGGGCGTGGTTCCACGGACCTAAATTTGTGCGTGAGCTTGTAGTTTCAACTGATCAGAATTCAGACAAATGAAGATAAGAATAAGTTGAAAGCGTAGAGTTAACCATTACAAATTCACGTGACTGAGTCAACAAAAAAACCAAAGTGAGTTTGATTTAATACAGTCTCGAGTCTACATACAATTTTTTACTCTCCTAAAAATGCTTTTATGAATGAGCTGTACGCCTACTCTGCCACGTCACCTCTCGCCATCCCTTGTACGTAATACATAACATAATGCGCCCACAAAACAGCATTTCGCGTGGGATTGAGAGTTTTCCAAGTTACGAGTTTGCTCTCTAGCGTATGATTACTGCCGTGGACTGTAGAGTTCAGTGCCGTTGATTTGAAATCTGTGCATGTGGTGGGCTCATCGTTTGGTGGACATGCACGAGACATCTAATCATTGTAAATTGTCTTGATTTGATTGGACGGTTGAGAAGAGACGATGAGAGTGCGAACATGTTTGGTAGTGTATTGGTAGCTTGTAGCTTGGGTTGAGGGCCTTGAGGCTCACGGCTCACTGACTGTACGTAACAAAACCTCTTAAGGCAATATACTGCCTGGTGGCTGGAGTACACGTGGCACAAGGCCTAAAGGCTTCTGGTGTGGTCCGATTACTTTATTGTGAAACGCCAAGTTGTAAAATGTTGTATAGAGTATTAATTATTATCGTTACAAAATACATTATTTCTACTTTTCTAGGGAAGTGATTTTCCCACCCCACTAAATTTATCAATAGCTCCATATATGGTAATTAATAAAAATAAAAATAAAAAACAAAATTTAATTTGGATTGTTTTTATCTATCATTAATGGGCTGCATGAAAATCACGAAGGACGCACGTTAACTAATCTTTTGGGATCTTGAAGTTGACGATCATATAAACTTATCAATGGTCACTCTTATAAGGGTTTATGAGAACTCAAAGTTAGGAGCTCGTGAAATCTCTTTTTGTATTTTTTACCTTTAGACCATTTAATGGTAGTTACCAGTAAAACTTGCACAAAATAGTTTTTACCACTTTAATTGACTAACGTGATAAAATAATCTAATAAAAAATTATAATATAACAATGACATAATCTTGTGATTCATTTATTGCATATTCACGCAAAACTAGAAAATTTCTGGAAGCATTAATACAAGTTTGTTTTTCATTTTACAATTGAACTCTTTGTTAGTTGCTATTAACATAGCGACAATCCTTTCTTATTTCTCCTTGGTCTCCTGTAAGTGGAGAATTCTCCGATAACAAGAGCACGGCCTGGGAGAATTGGTCCTGAAAATAGCCGTTATCAGCAGCCATCTTCTCCACATAAGGTAATGTTGTTGGATCAGAAGCCAACTGTTGATCTATTATGAGTAATCCCTTGTGATTTAAGACGTTCTTGTAGTAATTGTTGTCAAGAATCATGGGTGTTTCTCGGTCATTTCTTGCGTAAAGCACAGCCTTTGGATCAGGATCTGGTTTGGGACACCTTCCTTTTAAGTACTCGGCATAATGTGGGTCCAGAGTTGGATCGACGGTCGGATAAAGTCTGTGCACTAAATTTATACAGTGAACACGTCCAACTGAATGAGCTCCTGCACAAGGCAACGTAACCAGTTTTAGATGTTGTTTTATTCGCTTATTGGGGTTGTTCTTTTAGGCCTCTTTAGACAAAATTAGCAAGGCATGGATGTAGTCTTAATTTGTTTAGCATGGAGAAACTAGGCGTGTAAATACCTTGAGCTTGGGCCAGGTTGCCTGGGTTAAGTCCGACGTGCATTTTCAAAATGAAAGCTCAGCCACGAGAAAAAGCACGGGTTTTAGATACCCGGGCAGCAAGGAGTTATTGGTAATTTTGTTTTATGAAAGATAGCCAGATGTACTTTATATGGACTTTTGGAAACTCCCCAAAGTTTGATCTAAACCAATAAACCCCCTGCGGTAGCAGTATTAACTCAAACCCCCTGCCGTTAGTACATTACCGCTAATCATGATAGGAGAAGGTAAAAGTGTAAATAAAATTTATGATTATTAATTATAAAAAAATTATAGTAAAGATGCTTTTAGTAAACCTTGAATATATTCTAAATAAAATTCCCTTTCCCTTTTTTACTTCCTTTCTCACCCATATTTCTTCTCTATAAATTTTGTTTCAAATGGAGTTTGATTTGTTATTAACTTTTTTTAATAAAGATGAATATATTTAAGGTTGCAGTGGGTGGATGATGCTAGTGGATGTTGAATTGGTTGGTGATGGCTATGGTGATAAATTATGGGGCTATCTGGTGGAGAGGGGTTGTTTGGTAACTGGATTAGGTTGTTGTGCAGGGTGAGGAGAGGGTAATAAGGTCATTTACCATAATACTGTTAAATTTCACAGAAAATTACTAACTGTAGGGGGTTTTGCTAACACTGGTACCTCAGGGAGTTCATAAATTTGGACCAAACCTTGGCGGTTAATAGTTTATCCCTTTAATAGAGGGTTTTCTGTAATATTTTAGGAGGTTATTTCAATTTTTTTTTAAAATAGTTTATATAATATGCCCGGGCCTTGGGAAGCCCGGGTTCACCCCAAGTATACTTTGGGCCTGATTTTCCAGGCCCGGGTGTAATTTACTCCCGACTGGACCAGCTGGGATCGGCCGGGCTGTTGGGTATGGACTTGATTTGTATTAAGTTCCCAGTTGAGATAAGTTGACTAAGCATATTCTAATACAGGGCACTCTCACCTTTAGTGGATTAGTTTTGGGTTAATTGAAAAATTATGAAAGGCTAATGTAGCCGGGTAGTTTAACGATTCTTTCCTTCCCTTGAATGTATGATAGTTGAAGTTCCATAAAATAACATCGATTTGAATTTCTTTATGATAAAAGTAGGAAAATAGTAGGAAAATAGTAGTCAAAATATTGAGTTAGGTAATAAAATACCTAATAGGGCAACGGTGGCTTCGACATCAACGCCGAGGGACTGAAAGCGAGAAAGCACTGACGATATGCTATCATTGTGATTAGGGATTAAGCTATCCACCTCTGCGAAATAGCTTTCTTTGCTATCTCTCCGTCCGGTTTTCATTTCTATTCTTGGTCCACCTAACTGTAACAAGCCCACAACATATATCCATTTCAATATATATATATTCTTTACTATAATTAATTGATTTTTTGAAGTTTTTTTTTTGAGATTTGATCACACTACCATGACAATCCCATCTCTTGCAGAAAGAGCGACGACATCTGCACAAGAAACTGTGATGGGACATTCTTGTTCAAGAGCATCTTTGATTGTCTTCACATACTTAAAATTTCTCATGCCAAAGCTCCTATCGGATGCCTGCTCTGATTCGATACCATTCACTGTCTCCAACAAGAGCGATGCATCGCATGACTGCATTATTATAAATGTACTTATTATTTTGGTTAGCCATCTTATGGTTGAGCAATGCGTTTAATGAACAGGAACATTGTATGGTATTCGAAGATCACAGTACCTTTACAACGCAATCGTGGAAGAGATTTCTAACCCAGGAAACAGCGGTATTTCCATGTATTTTGTATAGCTTTATGACTTCTTGTTTGATGATTTCCTCAGCGTTTGGACAACTTTCTGCATAGTAATTATACTGCAGCTCGCTCTTACCTGTATAAAAAAAAAAAAACAACAAAATTTTAACTGTAAATATCGTGAACATGCATGCAACTTATTCAGCTAGCAAACATTGAGTTACGACCAATAGATAATACCAAAACAAAACCAATGGGCCACCATGTATATATATATATATAGATGACAAAAAGTTCTTATCATACTTTGTCAAATGTATTATCAACTGCCCGAATCCCTTAAAAAGAAAAAATGAAAGCAAAAATTACAGGGATAAAAGAACAGTACCAGAATGAAACTGCAAGAATAACGGTAACAACAGAAAGATGAGGACTGAGAAATGATGAAACCTATTAATGGCCATCTCTTAATTAAAGTTATTAGCTAAGCTGCTTCTTGGCTTCTTGTATGAACCACACGAAGCCTTATATAGGAAGTGCTTTTAAAGTGCCAGATGAATTTGTAGCTTCCACTACGCCACTTTCGGTCACTTCCGCCACGCGAGTGTCCCTACTTGAAGCCGATCTCCATCAATATTTTATAAACTAATGATACATTATCATCCCACTATTCTTATATTTAAGCAATCTAATTTGAATATACAGTTCAATAATTTGAAGAATTAAGAGAAAAAATAATTAGAAGACAACCAATCTCTTGTTGGTTTCTGCATTCATGGATTTCATTCATATCCGATTGGTGGGTTGCGTATAGTCTCTAATTATCTCAATGAAGTGATTGGTCAACTGCTTCCTATTACTAGATCTGGACTTAAAAATTCAAATCGATAATGCATTTAATTAGGTGAAGTGACCAAGAGGATACTGGCTTATGTAGAGTGATTTAAAGACTAGGTCACTTCACACAATATGGAATAGAATATATCCAAAATACACATTTATTCCCTTATTCTCAAAATATTATTCTATATTATTCAATTCCTTTTAAACCTCCTAGATTTGTTAATTTAACTAAACACCCCCAATTTTTTTTTTTTTTAGAAATTAACAAAAACACCCTAGCAACCCACATTTGCCAAATTCAGGCCACCACTGCCGAAAGCTGGTTGGAATCTGATATAATGGTGTACTACCTACTGGATCTGACCGGTAGTGTGCCGATCTAGTCTTTTCCGGCCAGATCCACTGTGGATCTGGCCGAAAAATATCTGACCTACGGTCAAAGATCTGGCTGTTGATGGCTAGATATTTGGCTGTAGCCAGTTGTCAATGACGACCATATCTTTGGCCGTCGTTGACGACTAAATGCGGCCAGATATAGTCATCAATGGTCAGATCTAGTCAGAAAAGGCCATATCGGCGCACGTCCAGCCAAATCCAGTCAGTTGTACGTTGATATGGCAACTCTGGCCACCATTCAGTGGTGGTGGCAAGCTATCGGTATTTAATGGGTGGGTGGGAGTGTTTTTGTTAATTTTTAATATTTTATTATAGGGGTGTTTAGTAAATAAACAAACATAAGAGGGTATTTTTATTAATTTTTAAATCCTACATCGTAATACCTACCCAATTTTACTTTTAAAAAAAAAAAAATATTATTATAATAAGTATAAGAATAATAAACCAAGTGCACCCTAACTTATTAAAATAATTGGTCTGCTATTTCTTTTGTTATAATATATAAATTTTCTAAGGTATAGGATTAGAACATAGAGAGAATCGACTAATTTGAAATTTTTTTACTTTTGTGGTGGTACTATGTATATTAACAGCAAATTCACAAGAAGAATTTATGAGAACTTGATATAATTTATACATTAATTTCTCTCATATATAAAATTCTTTTTCATAGCGGTCCTTGACAAATCTATGACGACCCAATAATTCAGAAATGTATACACAAATTAAGGATTTTATTTATAGTTTATATTATCATGTTTAGTTAAAACATAATCTTTAGAAAAATGCTGACCTCTAAACATGGAGTGCCATGTCAGCCCTCAAAGATAATCTTAATGGAATTAAACACACTCATTAGTTATACGAACATAAAAAATAAAATTAAAAAACCACTAAGTCATAATTTGAGGCTGTAAATCTCTGGTCATCCAGCATTGAGCTCGTAGTGTTTTGGAGTTGTGGCGGCCGAATATATATATAATATGATTTTAATTAAAATAAAAGTACAATCAGATTAAGTGGCATGAAGTTTTAAAGTCAAATTAATATGCAGTGGAAATGATATTAAAAGAGTGGTGAAGTGGATGTCAATGTGCGCATAATCCATTTGCATTTTATTATAGCCGCAAAGAAGATGCCATCCCAACCCATGTTCTATAGGAGGATAAGCCTTGACTTTTTGTTTTTGGTCAAAGAGAGGGAAGCTTATAGGAAATCGAACTTAAGATTAAAGAGTTTCTATTTGATTACTCGACTATCGGGATAAATTTTTCATTTTATATTGTTTTTAAGCATATCTATATTAATTTCATAATTATTCTTATATGATGGATTGATGTATAGAGTGGATTATGATCTTAGAAAAGACTTTTGAATTTTATTATTGATGGCATAATTAATACTAGGGAAATAACTAGGGGAATCAATCTCTCTCCCTATCATTCATAAATTAATTTTACTTTACATTTGTTGTGTAGACAGCAAAGTTTGCATACCCAATTAGACTTCATCTTTTATTCTGTGAAAAGTTGTAGCTATGAAACTGGTCTCCATGTGTAGTGAATTGTTAATTGAAGCATGGTATTGGCTATGGTGGTGGTGGTGGTGGTGTTTTTGGATTCAAAGGAATCGGAATGACCGATTCCTTGGATTTGGAACCGAAATTAGAACCAGTTAGTTCAAGTTCTTTGAAATTAGGAACGGAAACCTAAAACATAGGTTCTGATTCCGGTTTTGGGTACCCGAGTTAATTTCAATTAGTCCCCCTACTTTTTAAAAAATGACAAATAAACCTTTTTAAAATTACAGTACACTTCTACAAAAATTACAATTTAGTCTCTGTTCCTACCTGGGTATCCGACCGGTTCTGGTTCTCGGTTCCTGCAAGGTGGAACTAAAACTGAAAGCAAAGCTTACCCTGTGAGGGTCAGTTCCAATTCTGGCCAGTTCTTTTGTACACTCCTAATTTTACCAATTCAATTTGATGATGTAAGGGTAATAAAAAACTTTAAAATTTTATTCACCCATCGAATTGCTAAAACAAACCCAGTCTTTATGCGGCCTGTTAAAACATCTGACAGTTGATAATCTAAACTTGTAAAAAGAATCTACAGTAATGGACCAATGGGTTCCACGCTGTACACTTATAAACCTCTCTCCCACACGTGACATGTTAGGGATTTTAAGACCCATTAGGCCCACAACCAAGCAATTTCACTATCAAGAATAAGACCCTCGACACAAATTTTAGTGCACGCTGTGTGGCCCTCAAATCCCCATTATCCTCATTCCTCTATCAAACAAAGGATCTCATAATTTTGTATCAGCATATATGGTTGAGTTTATTTATAATAATAAAAAGTTTAAATAAGCTGTACCAAACAAACCCTACGAGAGCAATAATGATATGAAGGTCATAATTCATGTGAACATGAAGCCGAGAAGGTAACATCATGTTCATTTTTTTTTTTTTTTTGGATGATCGGGGGTGTTTAGGCCAGCTTACATGCATTTCAATTAATCTTCGATGTTAGAGTTGTCGATCACTTCAACAATTAGGGGCCAAACAGACGCGTTCGGAAGTCCCGCTGCCCGATCAGTGGGCGAGCAACGCCCCTGGGCCCGTAGGTGATTTGAGCCTTTTCCATGAAGAGTCGCTAAATGATTTCTCTAAGTTATTAATTCGTTATTGGGTTTGAGTTTAGGAATATGAATTCTTGTAATATTAAGTTTTAGTCTTTTAAACCTAGTATATAAACATTATTTTCTCTTGTACGAGTGTGATAGCAAATCATAAGGCAAATTTTTTTCATTGTAATGAGAGAGGTGAGATAGTATTGGGTGAACCAGGGTAAATCGTGCATATATTTCTTTCTCTTTACTCAATTGATATTTGTGTGTGTTTTCTGTCTTGGTTTCGTATTACTCTAAATTATTTCACGTGGGACTTTGGGGCTATGGATCAGATTAGAGCTTAAGTGACTAACATCATGTTCATGTTAACATCAGAGTTGTAAATTTTACTTTCTTGATCCAAATTTTAAAGGATAAGCATGTATATGTAACATCATAAATACTAACCACATATTTTCTTGTTTATTTGTTTCGACAAAAAATTGTGAAGAGCATGAAAAGTAAAGAGTGTAAGACAAGAGAAAGATGAATGAATGGTAGCTAGACAAGTTGGGCAATAATAATAATATGGAGGCCATAATTCATTTGAACATGAATGAGATCACAATCATAGTTTAGTACAAACGAAAATAATATACTACACATGATCCATGCATAATGCAATTACCTCTCTCTATATATACGCCAGTATAGAGACAAATTAAATAATCATAAGAGGCAAAGGCCAACGACTGTTTCACACCCGCCACTTGTTCAGTGGTTGCATTGATTCTTTGGCTTTGTCCTTTCAAGAATGAAGAATTCCCACACTTGACAAATTTATGATAAACTTTATTACCTTATACTAGAAACAAGAAACTGTGAGTACTAAAGAACTTTCGGAAAACCTTGGTTTATTTATGCATTCATTCAACATATATAATTGTTTTTTTTACAGTGGTCAATCTATTCTCAAGATTGGGTTGTTGATTTTTCCCTCTCAGCAGCGGTTGTTCAGTGAAGTGAACTATTGTTAATATGCTTGCTGAACTTCTGATGCAACAGTTTTGGCCCAGGATTTTAAGTGTTTCTTCATATCAGCTGCTGCAATGACTCTTGGAATTCTTAAATTTAGAAGTGGTGAATCGGGTCTCTTTATTAGCCATGCCTCTGATAAATATGGTCTCATGATACCTCTCTCATGTTCATATGCCGCTTGCTCAATTTCATCATCTTTACCAATCTCACTGTTGTGTTTATTTTTGTAACTTCCAACTCTTTGCAAACCAGGGATAACGCTAATCATTTGAGGGTTTAAATGTTCTTTCTTGAATACGAATCCAAGATCCATAAACCCTTTCACTTCTTCAAGTTCCAGATCCCACAAGCTCCTACAGCTCATCCACTTCTGCCCTACAATCATTGAGCCCGAGCGTCTTAAATTTCTCGGACGTTTTTTAGTTAATGGTGAAGAAGAGTGTGAGCGGGCTCTGCCTGCAATGATATTCAATCGCGTTGGTCTTTCTTTCAGTGCCTCTTCCTTTTCTTTAGCTTCATCGTTACAGTCTTCGACCTTGTAAAAAGATGAAAAAAGAAATCAGTAAACAAAATTCAGAGAGCCATGTAGGAGTTTACGTTGTAAATTTTGTTATTACCAGTGGCGAAACCGGAGATGAAGCTGAGGATTTTTCTTGGTCTTGAATATCTAGAGGCGCTGATAATAAAGAAGGGTTTGGTGTTGGTGAGTGTGTTTTCGGGACAAGAAGTGAAGTGGGTTCTGAGAGGAGAATAATATGGTGAAACCAAAGATGATCCATGGAGGTTATGAGGAAAATAGAGAGTTGGGGATCAGATTTAGCCATTAAAAGAGAAAGAGGATTTTCAGAAATGAGGAACAAAATGTATATAGAGGTATGAGAGTGAGAAGAAATGTGGTGGTGGCGAAATGAAAGCAAAACGAATATGGATTATGGAAATGGAAGGAAAGTAAGTGGTGGAACCCTGTGCGGTAGAGATGCGGTCACGAACCTATGGATTCTTCCAACTCTACATCTTTCATTCTTTAAATTACCATCTCGCCCTCCAAAATTATGCTACTATTAATTCTGCCACATATGACATATCACATGTTTTGGGCCACACCAATCAATAAATCTCTACTCAGACCATTTTCATATGGATAAAGTTTGGCTAAACCCAATCTTATAAACTCTCTCATAACCCATAATTTACAATTGGTCAACTCATAATTTGACAGGTAGCATTCATAGCGAGCAACAAAACCTATTTGTGAACTGATCAATTACAAGTTATCACGTCAACATTGTGAGAGAAAGTTTGTATAATTTGATTGTAAGTATAGTCTTACTCTTTTTATATTAATCATACAAAGAACATATCTAATTAGTATTAGATTCTTATCCTTAAAATATAATTTCAACTTTATGAGTGCATTTAACGATATTTAAGCTGATCCAAATAAAACTAAAACAAGAACGTTTTGATTAGAAAATTTTTGAAAAATTAAATTTTTAGATTATTTATACCTCTATATGGGTTGATTAAATTACTCTAGAATTGTTGTAATTTTAAATTGAATAAAGAGAATATGATGTGGTACCACGAACCATTATCAAATTGACATGTGTTAAATTTATTTAAAATTGAATATAAAACTGACAAAACAAAAATAAAACATAAATATAAGGATTAAACTAAAATAAAAGCATAGGATCCAACTAAATTAAACCAAAACTGACGGCGGCAAATGTTTTTGAATAGTTTTTTTTGGGTGTAAAACCGAAGACATCAATGCGGTGAAAAGCTAAAAAAATCAAAAATAGGTCAAAAATAGTTGAGATGGAACCACCACTGGGTGGTATGATGGTAAAAGAGTAAAATAGTCTAATATGAGTTTTTGAATTTGAGGCTCTTCAAACACTAATAAGTGACCATTGAAGAGATTTATCTGACTATTCACTTTAAGATCCCGAAAGATTAATCGAGGTATCTACAACCTAGCCAAATACCCGCGGTTACAAAAGAAAGAAATAGTTGAGATGGGTAGACCGAGAAAGCAACTCATCCATTTCTAAATCAACCAAAAGATAACGACAGGAAATTGCTTTACGTTTGTTTTTACAACAGAAAAGGCAATATTTATTGTATGATTTGTAAAGGTGATGACCGGGAAAGGGTGGAGATGGTGGAGTTAACAGGATAAATAAAAAAAAATGATACATTTATCATTGAAAGTTTTCACTTTTTGATTGGATTTATGTTTGTTAAACAAGAAAAAAAAAAGTTAATCCTAATATGGGGAGACTGAGGCGGGTTTAATCTGAAAACTATTCCTGTTGCCCAGTAGCGGATCCAGGAATTTCTTTTAGGGTAGACTAAAATAAAAATTTATTATACATTACTATTTTTGTTAGGGTGGGCCAAAATATATAAATTATACATATTAATATTAAAAAAAAAAATTCATGGCCCACCCAAAAAGTGGCTGGATCCACCACTGCTATTGCCCATTAAACATTCGTTACAACATTATAGACATATAGCTACGAAAATTAGTTACAGAAAGAAAAACTGTAGCAAATATATATTCATAGTTAATTGAAATAATTTTTGTGATAAGACTTCCTCCCTCGAAGCTAATATTCATATCTTTCTTTTAACTTATTAAAATCGTGGCAGTAACAAGTCATTTAGCTACAATATATTAACTATGGTAAAACATTATAGCTAATTAATGCATTTAGCTATAAACATTTTATTTACATAGTATATAGTATCATTATTAGCTACGAGTTTAACTACATATCTATTATTTGTGCATTAGCTATAAAATATTAAAATTTATAGCTAATTAAGGTATTTAGTTATACAAATTTTATTTTCATGATAGTAACAATATTATAATATCGTTATTAGCTACTAGTTTAAATATATAGTTAGTATGTGTGTATTAGCTATAAATTATTTGAATTTGTAGCAAATAAAGAATGTGAAAATCAATTTGTTATAATCCTTATAGTATGCAATTATAGATATTTTAATTTATACCGTGAGTAATTATATTTTTATTACTAATGAATTAAATAGTTATAGTCAAACATAATGTTAATCACATCGCTAAGGTCAATAGTAAATTTAAACTTTCAACAAATAGCTAACTTAAAAGAACTCTTCAACAAGCTTAGAGTGTGGGCTTTTGTAAAATAAAATTTTATTTAAGAGATCTGTGAGGTTTTTGTCTTTTCTATATTATTTAAAAATAATACTTTATGAAATAAAGATGATTTTAGGTATGAGATCAATATGAGATATTATAAAAATTGATAATGTTACATATTTGTATATATGGACTTGTACGTATGTTTATTGTTAACTATATAGAAAATGCAAGAAAATAGGAAAATATAAATTAAATCATATAAAATACGGTTAAAATTATAGAAGATATGATACAAATTAAATAATATAAAATATTGCAAAATTACCTTCTTAATTTTTTTTTCATTGTTTATGTGTTTGGTTTAATACTTATTTAAATTATTTATACTTTTGATAAAAGAATGTTTGGTTGTATGAAAGATCGTTTTATATAAAACTTGATGAATATATCAAAATAACCCAACAACCATTAATATATTTATTAAAACCTGCCTCACTTCACAAAGTATTAATATGCAAAGCTGTGAATGTTGGAAGCGAGCGGCAACACAAAATCTGAATACATCTAAGAAGAAACGCAGCCGTATTGATGTTTGTTACAAAGAAGAGCTGAAGCGGTGCCGTATTGAGGTTTATTACTAAAGAGTTGAAGCGTTGACGTTTTTGATTTCAGAAAAAGTAAAACAAAACAAAAGAAGTGTTGAACAGCTTCGTCTTCATACTTTAGCTGACTGAATTCAACTGTAAAAGCATGTAGCTGATAGATCCAACGTTAAAGAGTATAGACTTTGTGTTTTTTGTGAGCTAATGTGAATGGCTGAGATGTAAGATGACAAGGATTACAAATCTCTATAGATCCAACGGTAAAGAGTATCAGACTTTGTGTTTGTTGTGAGCTAATCTGAATGGCCGAGATGTAAGATGATAGGGATTACAAATCTCTATGGGGGCGTTTGGTTTAGAGGGAATGTTGGATTATTGGGAATCTTTAGAAAAATGTATTTGGTTAATTGATGGGTATGTTATATAAATATGTTTAGTTGAGATGAATAAATTGGGACCCCTAAATGCGTCTACGTAGGCTAGAAGCCGATGCAAAGTATGAATCATATCCAACAGGTTTTCTAATCATTGGTCTAATACTCAACCTGCTCCATGTACTCATCTGCTACACGTTCCATGTCAGTAATCAATAAGTTGGAGATCAATTTGCAAGTTCATTCTATAAACAAGAAATAAAGAATTCATTATAGAGCTTAGCAATGGTAGGATTTAAGTGGGTCTCATCTCCTTGTGATTTAATAAATTGTTCTCAAAGGTATCAATTGCAATTGATTCAAACCACCCATGATTTAATTCACAATATCTTTTCGTATTGTTTATAATAAGAATACAAGTTTGCTAATAAAAATTGAACTTAGTGAATCACATGAGACTATGGTTAGCTTGTGTAACAACCCCACTATGTAAAGATTATTTATCTTATTCATCATTTATAATTCAAATTATCTATCTTAAATATGTAGAGTTTAATTTTCTTCATCATAATTGTACATGCAAAAAATCTATGATTACGGAAAGAGGGCTTGATCTCGTGAGGTTATGGCCACTAGCAATCCGCTGCACCTACACATACAAAGAAACAAGTGTGAAGCAAACGGGAAACACCAGTGTGACGTTTTCCGTAAGCACTCCGACGCTCAAGTCAGCAAGGCTGAATGAGGCTAATTTAGTAAAGGTAAGGGAAAGAGGGTCATTGGAAGTTTAGCCGGAGACTAAAACTACGGCAACGATGTATAACTTTCAAGGATGAGAACTAGAGGGTTTGAAGGTGTAATGTTGAATGATTTATGAGAGGGCAGACCTCTGTTTATATAGTAGTCGTAAGATCTCCGAGTCCTAGTAGGACTATGAGTCCATAATGGTTGAGGTTTAGTGAACAGAAAAATCTTCAATTCACTTGCCTTAATAGGGGAAAAAGTCATATTTAGCCTAAGATTCGGATCTTAGATGAATTAGAATGTAGATGGATCTCTTTGAGAGAATCTAGGTAGTACTGAAATAGGAAGTAGATGACCTTAGGGTCTAAGTAAACCCTAGGTCTTAAAGGTGATCTTGGATCAATGGCCTGGGCAGATAAACTAATGGTGAGGCTTTTATTTTCTAGTGTCTCGTGCATTTTTTTACTTTTGCAGCTTGCTTTACTTGCATTCGCTTTATCGTGGGCGCTGCCGATGTGGTAAACATATAGTGGAGAAATATGATTAAACTATGTTATTTGCCATGGGTTTTACTTATTGTGGTTATCAGCTGGTGTGTTACTGCATAGATGATTAAAATTTCTTTATATGATCATCTGAACATAGTTTTTATTCCGCTCCCATCTTTTTAGGTACAATTAACTTATAAATAGCAAAATTTCCGTTACCATGTTTGAAATCCCTTTCTATTTTCGCATGAGAAGTTATCTAGCATTTGCAAAAATTATGAAATGTCTTTTAGTTAAATTTGTAACTTAAGCAATTTCTAACTGAAACAAGTAACTTTCTAGAAAACTGAAATCAAGTATGATAGTAAAATTTGATAATTGAATTTATTATATACATACAAGTCATACACCTACTCTGAAAACCGTTAA